ACAGTTCAATTAATGACCCAATAATTCAACATTTGACCTATAAACCTAATATCCTAATTAATTTAATGATCAATTGAATTTTTAAAACTATTCTTTTTATAGAGGAAATTCAATAAAAATACTTAATAACACACTTAATTGTATCTTGTACACATTTTACATGAGAAATATTATACACAGCCACACTAGAACTTTTTTCTTTTATGAATATTTAGTAGAATTATTAAGATTCTCACATAGTCACTTCTAGCATCGTTAAACTACTTTTATTGCACAACGTAATTTTATTGTTATATAAAATTAGCTTTTACATAATATTTGTTCTAGATTTTAAATCTTGAGTTATGACTTGGAACTAGAGTAATTAACATTGCATTACATTGTATTTTTCGTTTTGTGCAAGCATTACATTGTGATTTGATTAGTGCACATTTAAATCAAATTTTTGTAACGTGAACATTCAAACAAAATTAATTCACCATAAAAAAAAAAGTTTTGTAAGCAATATAGTATATTCTGTTGGTGTTATTTTTTTTTAATTAGAATCGATGTTTTATCTTAAAAATATTCATAAGCATTTAATAATTTTTTTTATTATTTGCATATTTTACAAAACAAACATAATTTTAAATTACAGGTGCAATTTCCTACAATGTTATAATTTACAATCATGTATCAAGGTTTTTTCCTTAGAGCAAAGCAGTAACACATCCTTTTGACTAAAGACTAATGTTCTAGTTTGATTGATGAAGTTTGTATAAATAGCTATGTAAGGCTTCTTGATATATGCTCCAACATGGCAATAACAGAGTCATGTGGGTTGTTCTTGCCAGAGAATTGGGTAGTTCCAGAATATGTCACGGATAATAGAGACAGTGTGGGATCCCTAGTATGTACTACTTGACTAATGTGTAACCAGGCAATAGAGGCACTGAGGCAGATTTTGTCATCGCCCAACTGAAAGGTATTAACTACCACATTGTGTTTGGAAATGGAGAAACAATTTTGTTGAGAACAAAATATGAGATGACCGTATTTGTGTGATAAACGTAATGTTGTGTTAAACAAGATTTTGACGCTGAATTCCAATAATAGAGCTTAGTTATGAGTTACCTCTTTCACCCTCGACCCAACAACTTTAATATCACTTGTTGAGTTGTTATGTATCGAGGATTCATACACACATGTTTCCACATTGATAAGATATTGTACACTTTAAATTTAAGTCATTATGATTTTACTTTTGGTTATCACTCAAAAAATTTCTTACAAATGAAGACAGTGAATGATGTGGGATTTTGATTGTACTCTAACAATTCTCCCTTCAAACATATGACCATGATTTAACCCTCATTGTAATGGAAACTAATCCATGAGTACATCCAAATGGTGGCTCATAGATCTTGGTTACGTTCTAAGTACTTGCATCGCTACTCCATCGTTTAAATCTATCGTTAACTCATGATAGCGAGACATGTCTCCTAATCCTTGATGTTACCAGGATAAATCTCTTCATATATGAACTCACCATTAAGAATACTTTTGATACAAGGATCCTACATCTAAATTCACTAGTCAACACCATTGTACTCACCGAGCTAGTCACCTGATTGGCAAGTGGATATGGACATCAGATCTCTTGTGTCAAAATTTTTCCTAACGATAGATCCATATGTGGAGAAGAAACTTCTTGATAATATGGAGGGTTAAAAGATGTGTCTTACTATTATGAGTCAACGATGGAGTGATAGTGCAAGTACCTAAAACGTGATTAAATTTTATGGGCCACTATTAGATATACTTGTGGATTAGTTTCCATTGCAAAGGAGGGTAAATCATATTCCATTGTTTGAGGGATGATTGTTGAGATATAATCAAAGTCACACATCATTCAAATAAAAGGATAAATATGAGTTTATAAACACACAATTATTTCCATTAGTAACTCATTTTGAATGATGTCCAAAAATAAATTCATGAGGATTTAGGCCCAAAGTAGACAATATCTTACCAATATGAAGACATATATATGTGGAAACCTACTAGAGCATAATAATTAGTATTAGGTTCCCCTTTTCCCTATAAAGGGGTTATACCATGGTTGATTGTTGGGATACAATCAAAATCCCACAACCTTCAAACATAAGGATGAACATGGTTTATAAATACACACATAATCTCCATTATTAAGAGATCTTTTGGGTTATGGTGATAAAAAATAAAACTATGACAATTTAGGTTTAAAATGAATAATATCTTACTAATGTGTATACACACACATACACACACACACACACACACACATACATATATATATATATATATATATATATATATATATGTATATATGAGAAGGGATCCGTTTACTCTGTTTAATAACTCATGCTCTACATCAAATCTCAACAATCAAATCCTTAAATTTAAAATCCTTAATACATAGATCAAATTTACAAATTCTTAAAAAATTAAAAATTATTTGATACTTCGTTTCATTAATTCATATTGACGGATAATATATATATATATATAGGGAGCGTATCAAGTGAGAAGTTTTTATTGTGAGAAGGTGAGAAGGTGGAAATATAACCCTTAGATTAATTTTCTCTCACTTGATTAAATCCCAAATTTTCTCTCACTTGATTAATCTAAGGGTTATATTTCAACCTTCTCACCTTCTCACAATAAAAGCTTCTCACTTGATACGCTCCCTATATATATTGAAAACCTCTTGTTGACATCAACAACCTATAATAGATTACAAAGTGATCACACCTACAAACCTATGTGCCAATACCAAAAGAGGGTGTGATTATTGAGTTCAATGTTTTGTATTTTCTAGGAATGAAATTTTATTGTAACCTGGAGGTAAAGCAAGTGGTACAGTTTTTAAAAAAAGTGGGTAAGATTGCGCGAAATGTTGGGGAGGATTCAATAGTTGCATGTGGAAAACCAAGCTCCAAATAATGAAGCCAAAAAGGAGTGCAGCCAAACCAATGAATTTTGACATGATTAAACTGCGTAATCCACAATTGAACATTAAATTAAGGACTAGTAAATTAAACTTATTGCGTTAGATTCTGATATTATAGAAAGTTACAAAGAAGAAAATTGTTTGTGCGGTAAAATATATTTTTGGATTTGTTTACATTAAAATGAATAAAATATAACATATTTTATCTCTTGAAAGAAGAGTGTGTAATTTTTAAAATAAATAAAAAAGAGAGTACATAGTCTTTGCTAAATCAAGTGCATCTGTTTTCTGGTCTTTAAATTAAGCGTCTATACCTTTTGTGTGTATTGGGCTTTAGCCCAGGCCCTCCTAAACATTGTTAGGCTCATGATATATATACTTCCTTTTTATAACTTTTTTTTTATTAGTACATTTTTTTATTTTTTTTTAATTTATAAAATATTATAGTTTTTTTTTTAATTTTTTAATTTTACATTTCTAACTTTCAATTTGTTACTTTCTTCTTTTTTTCACACACTTTTTTCTTTTAATTTTTACATGCTACCAAAATAAGTATGATGAAAGAAAGGTAAGGGGTACATGTAAAAATTAAAAAAAAGAAGGAAGATGTGTGAAAAAAAAGTACTAAATTAAATATTGTAGATGTAAAATTAAAAATTAAAAACAAAAGAATTAAAAAAATTAAGAATGTTTTAAAAATTTAATTATTTTTTTTAAAAAAGGAAGTGTACTTATAGAAGGAGGTGTATATATCATGAACCACATTGTTATTCTCTAAAGAAAAATGACACTAGTTTTTGTTTTCGGTGCAAACATGCAGTTTATCCTACCTTGTAATATTCTCAAAGAACAAAACCTATATATAAGATATAGCTTGAAAATGCTTATGTCCTCTCTCTTTGATTATATCCAAGCAAGACCAATCTATAGTAATCCTACATCCCAAATTCTACCACATTCAAGCAAGCAGATCCACAGTTTGGCGTGTGATTCATGTTTGTTGTCAATTTGTCGAGATGTTTTTTTTTCTTCCTTTTTTTATTTTAATGCAAACTCAAACAAAACGCATGCTATATTTAACACGAACGACTCATACAAAAAAATATGTTTAGGTACTCAAACATATGACACTGATATAAACTTTTAACATTTTATGATACCAATTATAAACATGCTTAATAATCAATGTTTATCATGATTAATGTGGAATGAATGTGAAATCAATCGATGACAAGTATGTACTTATATTAAATATCCAACATAAAATCTGAATTAAAACTTCAATACTAATAATATTTTTAAAATTTTATTTGAATTATTAAGTTTAATTGTATTTTTTTCATATATATTTTAATTTTATAAAATTTGCTACTTAAATTTTGAAATTGAACATTTTATCATTCAATTTTTCATATATCATACTATTAATTAATCATTGATATATTATATTAACTATTAATGTGACACACATTAACTATTTATATTTGGTGTGAAATAATGTGACATATCAGCACTTAACATTCTATATAAATAATTGACATGTCAATAATTAGCGTATCATGTTTAAAGTGATTTATCGGTACAAATAATGTTAAAATATGTATAAATTTAAAAATATCCAATTTAAAAAATTAGATGAGAAGATGAGAAAATTTGAGAAATTGTGAAACATGTATAGAAAAAAAAAATGCTACTGAACCTATTATATCATATTTAATTAGTGCATGTTTTAAGTGAAAAAAGAATCTCAACCGTCCAATGGACCCTCACAAATTGACGCAATCGATGGCCGATCCAGCGGCTAGGAGGAGTCGCCGGAGGGTATTAGATAGGTCCCACAATCGAGCATGATGGGGCCACGTGTTGGTTCGAGGCGGAACAAACACGAGCTGCCACCGTAGGAAAAGAAAAGTCAGATTTTTCTAGAGTGACCTTTTCTCATCATCTGACACGTGGCCCTCCACCATTCGTCATTCACATCCATCATGTTTCCTTTCCTCTCTCATCTTATCTCTCTCTCTTTAAGTTCCATAACTTTTCAGTTTTTTATTTTCTTTTCCCTCACAACTACGTTTTCTCTAGATCCAACCACTTCCATTGCCACCGCCAATTGCTTCTTCTTTATTTTGCTTCAATTTTGCTCCAAAATCCAACACTGTGTTAGATCTCCCCACTCTTTTCTCTATGCCATTCCCCCAGGTTTGATTCATTTCACAAGTTTGCATTTTTTTGTTGTTGACGGGTTCCTTTTATTTTCTCTTAATTTTCCCTTAATGGGTATCGGGATCTGCTTTTTAATTGTGTGTTCGGGTGATTGATTTTGAAGAAAAATGATGTTTTTAATTATGGGTTGAGTAGATCTTGTGGTATGTGGGGTTGCATGGTTTTGTACTTCAATTGAGTTTATTGATGTGTTTGGTGTTCCTAACAAATTGGGTGGATCTGGTCAGGGCTATAATGCTTTTCTTTGTTTTTGGTTCTCTATAATTGTAAACAGGATTTGAGGGGTAAGAAAACCTTTTTTTTTTTTTTGAAAAATCATCAAATCAACTCACTGAAGATAAAAAAATTGGCATGAAGTTTGGTGGTTATTCTGTTCATCCAATAATTCATTGTGTTTTTTATGCATTATAGAAGTCATTGAAGGACTTTAATTTCCAGCGATTATTATTCACTTTTGCCTTGACCATTAGGTGGGCGCGTATTGGTGGATGAATAGATTAGTTTAGGATGAATCGGTTAATAGTTAGTACTATCTCAGTTGCCAGTATGGTTAAAGCAGTGTTGATGCGATGTGGACATCAGTTATCTGTTTTTCATATGGATCAAGTCTTGATTTTGACTTGTTAAGTTGTTATCATGATCCTTTCCTTTGTTTCTGTGGTTGTGTTTCTTCCCTATCCAATAAGGGAAGGAAGGTGGGGTGCACCCTTGTTTTAAATAATTTATGAGTTCGGTCTGATACAGATTTCAATGTTCAAAGTAAATATGTTTAGTGTGTCTTCATGCATTACTTTCACCTATCCCTTCACTTTTCAATCCTCAGCCTGTCCTTCACAAACACTTAACTCAAGAACTTGATGTGCTGTTTTTGTATTCAATTAACATGATTTTTTCAAGCTACTGTTTTCTTTCTTCCAATCTTTTTTAACCAATACAATTTTAATGCGTTATTATTAAAATCATAGAAATGCATCACTTCTAAGTTTTTAATCAAAACCTGTTTAATATTACTAAATTTCTCCATATCTTCTGTTCACATCATTATGTTTGTGTATTTGTCCTTCTGTGAATCTCTTAATCATTAGTTGACTTTCATTCCTGTAATTGTACACTTGCACGTTCAATGTTGGCCGGTCATGTCTCTTCAAGTCTGCCATGCCTGGAATTGTTTTGTTTAGGGCTGTATTGTCAATATCTTGCTGTAAATAAATCATGTCTCTATCTTTGTGAGCACTTTCAGTTTGTGATGATTATGCCGTGTTTTTGTTTAACTGCAGCTGGGAAGGGTGTACCGGAATCAGAGTGTAGCTGTGGGGTGTGGGATTATTAGGAGTCTTGTAGACCTGTTGGATTTTTCAGGATGGGAAAGTGCAAGGGTTGTGGGAAGTTAGGGAGAATGGGGCCAACGGATGGATCAATGAGTGCTTATGAATTTTCTTTGATGTTGTCGCCTGTTGTTTCTTTTTGGGATTGTATAGTCCGCAAAATGAGGTACTCCTACAGACCTGAGTGGGTGTAGTGGTTAGAACGCATCATTAGTTCTAGTCTTGATACTTCAACCAAATAGAGTATATTAGCATAACTAATTAGGGAAAG